AAGGCCTGCCATGAACGCAAAGGCCAGATAGTTGTGCAGGTGCTTGCCCCACCACGTCACCAGCGAGAACGCGTCCGGGCCGATCACCGGCAGCAGCACATATCGGCCGTACATGACATTCAGGCCCGTCAGTCCCAGGACGACGAAGGAGACGGCGGTGAGCCAATGTCCGAACCGCTCGATCGCCTCGAAGCGGGTAATGGTCTCATCCGAGCGGCCGTGCTCGATCCGGATGCGTCCACGCAGTGCGAAAAAGAGGCAGAGCATGACGACCATGCCGAGCAGCGCCCAACTGCCGTAAAGCGCGATCGGGCCGTTCTTCAGAGCGCGCCAGAGTTCCCCCTCCGACTGCACCAGCGTCGCGGACTTCTCGTCGGGAATGGAGACCTTGCCGGCGGCACCGCTGCGCACGGCACGCCAGAAGTCGGAATCCGAAGTCCTCCCGAGCGTGTTTCCAGGGACATGTCCCTGCACCGGGGTCTCGCTCGGGATTTCCTGCGCGACACCCTGTTGGGCCAGCACGGGCCCGCTCGCAGCCAACGGGCCGCCAAGAACCGCACCGAGGCAAAGGGCGAGCACGGCGGGACGGCAACGCCTCACGCCGGACTCGGCGAAACGGCGTACCGCCTGCAACAGGCCATGCCCCGGGATCGAAAGTCCGGACATTCTCTTGCTCCTCTCCGGGCATGCACCCGGGCTTGCCGTTCAGGTCAGAACTGCTGGCGCAGACCGCGGTGGCGCAGTTCGCGGCGTTCCTCATCCGTCAGCGGTCGATCCGCCTTGCCTTGGTAGACGCCTTTCTCAAGATGCAACGGTCGGTTCTGCTCGTCCTCCCGACATCCCGGCACCAGCGCCAGGACGATCGCCGATATGGCCAGGGCGCCCCATCCTGCACGTGCGGATCTCACATCAATGCTCCTGCTTCATGTCGCCCGGCGCCCGCCGGGGAACCCCGCCTGCCTGCACCACAGGGATGCCCGGCGTCCCGGACATCCCTGTCTTGCGGCCATGCTGGCCTGCATCCGGTCAGAAAAGGCCCGTCCGTCCCTGGGCTCTTCCCTTGAGCGCGGGCTGTCACCTTCAGATATTGCCGGCCTTCTGCTCATAGGCAGTGCCCCAGCCCCAGGCACCCGAGCCGAACCCGCGGGCAACAATGCGCTCGCGGTAGATCGACGACACGACGTCGCCGTCACCGGCAAGAAGGGCCTTGGTCGAGCACATCTCGGCACAGAGCGGCAACTTTCCCTCCGCGAGACGGTTACGGCCGTACTTGGCGTATTCGGCCGAAGAGTTGTCGGCCTCCGGGCCACCGGCGCAGAAGGTGCACTTGTCCATCTTGCCGCGTGAACCGAAGTTGCCGGCCTGAGGATACTGCGGCGCGCCAAAGGGGCACGCGTAAAAACAGTAACCGCAGCCGATGCAAAGGTCCTTGGAGTGAAGGACCACGCCCTCCTCGGTCTGGTAGAAGCAATCCACCGGGCAGACGGCCATGCAGGGCGCGTCGGAACAGTGCATGCAGGCAACCGAAATGGAGCGTTCGCCCGGCTTGCCGTCATTGATGGTGACGACCCGGCGGCGATTGATGCCCCACGGCACCTCATGCTCGTTCTTGCAGGCGGTGACGCATGCGTTGCACTCGATGCAGCGCTCGGCGTCACAGAGGAATTTCATCCGTGCCATGATCTCTCCTCGTCATTTTCCTGAGGCTCGGGCCCGCGGCGAAGGCTGCTTCGCCGGCCGCGGGCGGCCATGTGTGTCAAGCCTCAGCCGATGCGCTCGATGCGGCAAAGCGTGGCCTTGGTTTCCTGCATCTGGGTGACGCTGTCGTAGCCGTAAGTCTGGGCGGTGTTCGTCGCCTCGCCGAGCACGTATGGATCGGCGCCCTTCGGGTACTTGCTGCGCTGATCCTCGCCCTGCCAGTGACCGCCGAAGTGGAACGGCATGAAGGCAACGCCGGTGCCGACACGTTCGGTCACCATCGCCATCACCTTGACCTTGCCGCCCTCGGGACCGTGCACCCAGACCATCTCGCCATCGCGGACGCCCAGATCGTTGGCATCCCTGGTGTTGACCTCGATGAACATGTCCTGCTGCAGCTCCGCCAACCACGGGTTAGAGCGGGTTTCGTCGCCGCCACCTTCGTATTCCACCAGGCGTCCCGAGGTGAGAATGATCGGGAAGTCCTTGGAATAGTCCGTTTTCTGGATTGACTCGTAGCGGGTCGGGACACGCCAGAAGGTCTTGTCCTCGTAGGTCGCATACTTGTCGAGCAGGTCACGGCGTACCGTGTACAGAGGCTCGCGGGGCAGCGGCACCGGATCGGGGAAGGTCCACACGACCACACGGGCCTTGGCGTTGCCGTAGGGGGCGCAACCGTGTGCGATCGCAACGCGCTGGATGCCGCCGGACAGGTCGGTCTTCCAGTTCACGCCGCCAACCTTCTCGTCGTAGTCGGACGGCATGTCGCCTGTCTGGGAGGTCTCGCCGACCTCTTCCGAAGACGGACGAGCATCACGCATTCCCGCGACCCATTCGATCGTCTGGCGCTCGTAGGGCGTGAGGTCCTTGTCCCAGCCAAGCTTGATCAGCATGGCCATGGTGAACTCGGGATACCCGTCCTCGATCTCCGACCCCACGGGCCAGGAACCCTCGGCGAGCAGGTTGTCCCCGTTGCGCTCGACGCCGAAGCGGGCCCGGAAGCCCATGCCGCCTTCGGCGACGGGAAGCGAGGTATCGTAGAGAACGGCCGAGCCGGGATGGTTCATCTCCGCGGTTCCCCAGCACGGCCACGGCATACCGTAGAAGTCGCCGTCGGCCGGGCCGCCGCGCGCGCGCAGCGTGGTGCGGTCGAACGTGTGCTGGTTTTCCATGTGGAGCTTGAGGCGTTCCGGCGACTGCCCGGTGTAGCCGATGGTCCACATGCCCCGGTTGAACTCGCGGGTCAGGTCCTCGATGAGCGGCTCTTCGCCATTGACCTCGATGTTCTTGAAGAGGTCTTCCGCGAAGCCGAACTTCTTCGCCAGCAGATAGGCGATGACATGGTCGGGCTTCGACTCGAACAGGGGCTCCACGACCTTATCGCGCCACTGGATCGACCGGTTTGACGCCGTCACCGACCCGTAGGTCTCGAACTGGGTCGTCGCCGGCAGGAGATACACGCCGTCCTTGCGGTCATGCATGATCGCCGACATCGTCGGGAACGGGTCCATGATGACGAGAAGATCAAGCTTCTCCATCGCCCGCTTCATGTCCGGCAGACGGGTCTGCGAGTTCGGAGCATGGCCCCAGAAGACCATCGCGCGGGTGTTGTCCGGCTGGACGAGGTTTTCCTTGTCCTCCAGCACGCCGTCGATCCAGCGCGACACCGGGATGCCGGTCTCGAACATCATCTCGCGGTCCGAGCCGTCCGGCTTCTTCATGGTCGCGAAACGGCCGGCAAGGTTGTCGAAGGAAACGTCCCAAACGCGCGCCCAGTGCCCCCAGGAGCCCTTGGACAGGCCATAGTAGCCAGGCAGCGTGTCGGCGAGGACACCAAGGTCCGTCGCGCCCTGCACATTGTCATGACCACGGAAGATGTTGGTGCCGCCACCGGCCTTGCCCATGTTGCCGAGCGCGAGCTGCAGCGCACAATAGGCACGGGTGTTGTTGTTGCCGTTGGTGTGCTGGGTCCCGCCCATGCACCAGATCAGCGTGCCCGGACGGTTGTTGGCCAGAGTGCGCGCGACGCGCTTGAGCTGCGAGCCCGGAACGCCGGTGACACGCTCGACCTCGTCGGGCGTCCAGTTGGCGACCTCGGTCTTGATCTCATCCATGCCCCAGACACGCTGGCGGATGAACTCCTTGTCCTCCCAGCCATTCTCGAAGATATGCCAGAGGATGCCCCAGACGAGCGCGACGTCGGAGCCCGGACGAAACCGGACATACTCGCTCGCGTGCGCCGCGGTGCGCGTGAAGCGCGGATCACAGACGATCAGCGGCGCATTGTTCTCTTCCTTCGCCTTGAGGACGTGCAGAAGGGAAACCGGATGCGCCTCGGCGGGGTTGCCGCCGATGATCAGGATCGCCTTGGAATTATGGATGTCGTTGTAGGAGTTCGTCATCGCGCCATAGCCCCAGGTGTTGGCAACACCCGCGACCGTGGTCGAGTGACAGATACGTGCCTGGTGATCGACGTTGTTCGTCCCCCAGAAGGCGGCGAACTTGCGGACAAGATAGGCCTGCTCGTTGGAATGCTTGGCGGAGCCGAGCCAGTAGACGCTGTCGGGTCCGCTTTCGTCGCGGATCTTCATCATCTGGTCGCCGATCTCGTTGATCGCCTGCTCCCAAGACACCCGCTCCCACTTGCCGTTCACGAGCTTGGTCGGATACTTGAGCCGCCGCTCGCCATGAGCGTGCTCACGCACGGACGCGCCCTTCGCACAATGAGACCCAAGGTTGAACGGGCTGTCGAACCCCGGCTCCTGCCCGGTCCAAACACCGTCCTGCACCTCGGCCAGCACCGTGCAGCCGACCGAGCAATGCGTGCAGACGGTCTTCTTGATCTCTGCCGTCGCAGCCGTAGGACCGGCAGCTTTCGCCTTGCGAACCATTCCGCCCGTCAGGGTGCCGGCTGCGGCGAGACCGCCGGCGGCAAGACCCGAGCGACGCAGGAACGCGCGACGGTCCATCGCGCTGGCGCCCATCGCCTCGATGGCGGAGGCAAGCCGCGTTCGGCTGGCGACGGAGCTCGTCTTCTTCCTCAGCATCCCGTTTCTCCCTCGATCCGCCGGCGACCAAGGCCTGGCCCGCACCGACGTCCTGTTTGAATTGTCTGGGCCACCGCGCCGGACCAGCCGGCGCACGGCATCATCAGTCGATCAGAAGCGCGCCGTCTCGTAGGCTCGCTTCACGTGATCCGTCTCGCGGTAGCCCGCCGCCTTCTCGGACGGGGCCTCGGCCGCCTCGGCACCTCCGGCCACAAGCGTCATCGGCGCCGCCGCCGCACCAAGGCCCGCGAGCTTGAGAAAGCTGCGGCGATCGGCTTCCACGGCCGTGTCCTTGCGTTTCATGCTTCTCTCCTCATGCTCGGCCCGGTCGCCACTGTCTGGCCTCGACCACGCCGGTTGTTCAGTCTGGTCGCCGCACCTGGAACTTCCCGACACGGCGTCTGTGTGAGAACGGATCAGGTGGCCCGAGCCGCTCCCTCGTCTTCGAATATCGTGTTCAGGTCCGCCTCGATCGCCATGAAGGACACACCGAGCCGGCCGATCGCCGGATAGAGGTCACCAACGGACGTGGCGGCAAGATCGCGGAAGAAATACGGAGCCCAGATTCCCAGGTGGTCCCGGAAGAAGGTCGACGCATCACCCTCCGCCCCTGAGCCGAAGTCTCCCAGGATCAGCCCCGCCATGATCTGGCACTCGGCGGCGATGTGGTCTTCCGGCTCCTTCACCTCGGGATCACGCTCAATGCCGAGGCGCCGCATTTCCGCGCGCAACCTCGCAAGCGGCTTTTCGTTCAAAAAGCCGGTAAGGTAGAACGATCCATAGGGAATGAGCTCACCGCGTCCAACGCCGATGAAGAGGTCGTGGTAATCGCGGGCCAGACGGGCAGGATCGGCTTCGCGGGCCAGGCGGACAACATCGGCGAGCGCCATGCCGACATCACCTTCGGCGCCTTCAAGGGCACTAACGACGGAAAGCCACTCGGAGCCGACCGGCGCTTCCAGTGAACTCGCCAGAAGGCCATAAAGCGTCGCACGGGCACGATCCTCCCCGCCTATCGGCGGAAGGCTCGCGCCACCATGGCCCATCGTATTGTCGACCGCGCCCGAAACGGCCTTTGCCGAACGGACATCGCTGCCTGCCGTCATGCAATTCTCCCTCATTGTCAGAATAACCGGTCCTATGCCGTTGCGGCAAACGCTTTCCGTGCTGCAACGCCAACGTCAAAAACCTTTTTTCGTCCATGAAAACAGTTATTTGACGAACAAAAAATCACAAAACAACACGAGAAACAGTCCCAGCTAGGCAAGCCACATTGTGCACCGCACAATCACCCGATCTAGGTTGGTAACCACTCCGTTCAGACATTCGCGATTTTCGCGGTAGTGCCCGGGAAACACACGCCGACAGAGCAAATCGGACAGAATCTCTCAGGTTTAAAAGTCACTTCGCGCCGGTCTCGCCTCACGCAAACGCGAACGCCCGCTGTCGGCCACCTGGAACAGGCACCCGACAGCGGGCGTTCAATCTTCTCTCGTACGACTTTGTCGGAAACCGACGTCTCAGCTCTCGATCACGATATTCGGCGCTGCGCGATGCCCATCTTCCCGGTTGCGTTCGATCTCGGCCTGAACCTTGGTCGCGATATCGCGGTAGATGCGCGCATGCGGGCCATCGGGCGCGGATACCGTCACCGGCGTGCCTGCATCGGAAGTCTCGCGGATTTCCATGTCGAGCGGAACTTCGCCGAGGAACGGAACACCCAGACGCTCGGCCTCCGTGCGCGCGCCGCCGTGACCGAAGATGTCATGGCGATTTCCGCAGTCGGGGCACAGGAAATAGCTCATGTTCTCGATGATCCCGAGAAGCGGGACATCCACCTTGCGGAACATGTTCAGCCCCTTGCGCGCATCGATAAGCGCAAGGTCCTGTGGCGTCGAAACAATCACGGCACCGGCCAGCGGCACGTTTTGCGCCATGGTAAGCTGCGCGTCGCCCGTGCCCGGCGGCATGTCGACCACCAGAACGTCGAGATCACCCCACTCCACTTCACGCAGCATCTGCGTGATGGCCGATATCACCATGGGACCACGCCAGATCATGGGCGTTTCCTCATCCACGAGGAACCCCATGGACATCACCTTGATGCCATAGCCTTCAAGCGGCTTCAGAATACGGCCCGATACGGGTTCAGGGCGCCCGGTGACATGGAAAAGCCGGGGGATGGACGGGCCGTAGATGTCGGCGTCCAGAACGCCGACCTTCAACCCGTTGGCCTGCAAGGCAAGCGCCAGGTTGCAGGTGGTCGTGGACTTGCCGACACCGCCCTTGCCCGAGGCCACGGCAATGATCGACTTCACCCCGGGAACGCCGGGCTTCGCCGTCGAGCCGCCCGTCTTCGCGCCAGCCCCCGCTCCTCGCGCCTGCATGGGCGGGGGAACGCTGCCGGCGTCGCCCGCCGCGGGCGCCGGACGCACAGGCTGGGCCTGCTGCGGCGCCCCCCCGCCACCCTTGCGCTCGGATGTCAGCGCCACCAGTGCCTTTTCGACACCCGGCATCTTCGCCACCACGCGCTCGGCGGCCTGTCGCAGCGGTTCCAGTTCCTGGGCCCGTTCAGCGGGAACCGTGATCGAGAAGATCACCCGCCCCTCGGAAATGAAGACCTCGGACACCAGCCCCAGCGAAACGATGTCTCCCTCCAGGTCGGGTCCCTTGACCTTGGAAAGCTCCTTCAGAACGTCCTCGCGCGTCGGCATCCCGCTCCCTCGTGATTTCCAGAACATGTTTTCCTCGTTCGTTCTTGATGCGCAACGTAAGGGGAAAGTGCCTTCCGTCAATGACGGATCGCGCCACGACGCCTCCTGCTTCCACATGCCGCGTTTCGTGAAATCTGTTTCAGCCTGTCGAAAATCGTGATGAGAAAGATCGCATTTTAGTCCTTGCGGCAGCCCTCGCTTAACCGTTCCCACAGGTTGTCGTGCGCACAATCGGAGCTTGAGAGAATGCCCCACGTCAGGACAAGAAAGATGCCCCTCTCCGCACTGTGCTTTTCCGCCCGCATCGACTGGTCCGCAGTCTCGGGCTCCGTTGAAGCCGAACTCGAGGCAACCCTCGACCGCGCCCGCAAACTCAACCGCCTGAACGGTGTGACAGGTGCGTTGCTTCTCTCTTCCGACAGCATCGTGTGCTGGCTGGAAGGCAACTCGCGCGGCCTCGCGGACACGCGCGACTGCGTCGGGCGCGACTCCCGGCTGTCGGACATCACGGAGATTGCACAAGGCGAGATCAGCGAACGCGTGTTTTCCCGCTGCTGGCTTTATTTCGCCGACCTGCGCCGGAGCGGCACGGCGGATGGAACGCCCATAGACACCGCAAGCCTGGCCTCATCTCCCGACATTGCGGCAGCCGCAAGGATCATCGCGCCGCTGACGGAACGCCTGGCGCCCGCTCGCCAGACCCAGCGCGCCATGCTGGTGTAGGCTAAGGATTCGGGGGCGGCTTCGGCCGCCTTCTCGTCTCCGCAACCGCTCCCTTGGATCGTGCTTGCCGCCAAGTTAATGAATTGATTTCAGAATTCCCGCACTGAATTACAGAACCCCAACAGGTACCGACTATCGTGCTGTCCCATGATGATCTCGATGGGACCAACGAAAATGTCGATCTCGCGGCTTTGCTACCGCAGTGCGCTGACCTTCACCGAAATGACGCTATCGCTCGAGGAGGAGCTCGAGCGAATCGTTGCCACGGCGCGCGCCAACAATGCCCGGACGGGGCTGCGCGGTGCGCTGATCATGAATGGCACCACCTTCTTCCAGGTTCTCGAAGGACCCGCCGACGCCCTCGAGGCAACCTTTTCCCGAATCGAGGCTGACCGCCGCCATCATGACCTGACCGTGATCGACCGCCGCACCGATGTCGTGACACTGTTGCCGAACGCTCCACTGTTCTTCTGCGACACGCTGGATGCTCACGACGGGGTTCTTGCCAGCCTCGCCATGCCGATCATGCAGGCTCCGGAGCTGGTCTCGCACGATGACCTCATCTCGGTTTCCGTCTTTGCATCCGCCCGCCTGTCCCGATCGCACGAAGTTTCCCGACGCCTCAGCGCCTGATCTCTCGACACGGTCCCCGCCCCTCCGGCACCCTTGCCAGACCCTGTGAATGCTCCCTAGTTTGTCGGCTTCACGAAGCAGCGCGCGGGGGTACATCCCGGCGGAGGGGATTCAGTGCGGCGGGACAGCACAACAGACAGCAGCAAGCACGCTCTTCGAGCTCTACCGGAGTTCCTGATCCACCCGGATCCCGAGGATTCGCGCCTGTCCGTCCCCGTCTCGGGTTTCGACCAGACCGGCGCGGAGGTGGAAATCAACGTGGTCACGGAGCGCGCTCTGACGCTCTACCTGAACTCGCAGGAGATCGTCACGATGATGACGATCGGCGACCGGCCGGACCTCCTGGCCGTAGGCTATCTACTGAACCAGAACATGCTGCGCGGGGATGATCGCATCACCGGCATCGACTACGACGATGATCTTGAGGTCGTGGTCGTGCGCACCGAGCGCGAAACCGACTATGAGGACAAGCTGAAGAAGAAGGTGCGCACCTCGGGATGCGCCCAGGGAACGGTCTTCGGCGACATGATGGAGCGCTTCGACGACATCCGCCTGGATCCGGACGCGCGGCTTCGCACATCGGCCCTGTACAAGCTCACCCGTACGATCAACACCGCGCCCTCGCTTTATCTTGCAGCCGGCGCCATTCACGGCTGCGTCCTGTGCCAGGAGGATCGGGCGGTCGCCTACATGGAGGATGTCGGCCGGCACAATGCGGTGGACAAGATCGCCGGCTGGATGTGGCTCGAGAACATCGCGCCGCAGGACAAGGTCTTCTACACCACCGGTCGCCTGACATCCGAGATGGTCATCAAGACAGCAATGATGGGTATTCCCATTCTCGTGTCGCGCTCGGGTTTCACCGCATGGGGCGTGGAGCTTGCCCGCCGTGTCGGTCTGACGCTCATCGGACGCGCTCGCGGCCAACGGTTTATCGTCCTGTCAGCTCCCCAGCGCGTGATTCACGATGCGGACCCGTCCCAGGCGGAGGCCGAACCTGCTCGCAGCCGGCGAAAGGGTGCGACCTCGGGCAAGGAGATGTCATGACCGCTTCCGATACCACAATCGGTTGCATCCTCGCGGGAGGGCTCGCGCGGCGCATGGGTGGCGGCGACAAGCCGATGCTTGTGCTTGATGGCCGACCGATCCTGAGCCACGTCGTTGACCGCTTGCGGCCGCAGGTGGACACGATGATGCTGAACGCCAATGGCGACCCGGCACGGTTTTCGGACTTCGGCCTTCCCGTGGCGGCGGATCCTGTTGGCGGCTTCGCCGGTCCCCTGGCGGGTGTTCTGGCGGGCCTGCGATGGGCGCAGGAACATCAGCCTCGCATCGAGGGTATCATCTCGGTTGCCGGAGACACGCCCTTCTTCCCGACCGACCTGACAAAACGCCTTCTCGATGCCAGGGCCGGCGAACGCGACCGGATCGTTCTGGCCCGCTGTGGCGGACACAACCACCCCGTCTTCGGGTACTGGCCGCTTGCACACGCGGATGCGCTCGACGCCTTCCTCCGGGAGGGCACGACCGGGAAGGTCCTGGCCTTCGTGGACATGCATCCCAATGCCCGCGCCGAGTTCGAGGAAGACGGCCACGACCCGTTTTTCAACATCAACACGCCGGAAGACCTGGCGCAGGCCGAGGCTTTCGTGCGGAAAGGCTCATCATGAGCGAAAAGCACGCTCCCGTTGTCGGTGTTTCCGGCTGGAAGAACTCGGGCAAGACCACCCTTGTGGAACGCCTCGTCGCCGAGTTGACCCGGCGCGGCCATAGGGTCGCGACGGTGAAGAAAGCCCATCACAACGTGGACGTGGACACGCCGGGAACCGACAGCCATCGTCACCGCCTGGCCGGCGCCCGCGAGGTTGCGCTGGTAAGTTCGAAGCGCATCGCCCTGATGCGCGAACTCGGCGAAGACCCGGAGCCGACGCTCGAGGAGGTGCTCGACCGGCTTGCCCCATGCGACGTTGTTCTCGTGGAAGGCTACAAGAAGTCCGGTCACCCCAAGATCGAAGTGCGGCGAAAGGCGTCGGCGCGCGACGGCGCGCTTGAGGGCAGCGTACCGAACGTGCGCGCAATCGCAGCCGATCACGCTGTCGAAGCGACTGCCTTGCCGGTTTTCGATATCGACGACGTCACCGGGATCGCGGACTTCATCACGGACCTTTGCGCATTGAACGACAAGGGAGACGACGCGGGTGACAGGTGAACGGCGCCTTCTCGACGACTGCTTTCTGCATGACCGCGACCGGCTGACACACGCCGAGGCGCTGTCCATCCTCAAGGAGCGTGTCACCTGCGTTGTCGGCCACGAGAGGATCGCGCTTGCCGAAGCGAACGGTCGTGTTCTCGCGGAGACGGTGTCAGCTCCCCGCGATGTCCCCCTGACCGACAACGCCGCCGTCGACGGGTATGCCTTCCGGCATGCCGACCTGCCTGCAGGCGGTGGCACTCTCCCGGTAAGCACCAGGATCCCCGCCGGACATCCGGCCACCTCCGCCCTTGTATCGGGCACGGCGGCACGCATCTTCACCGGAGCCGTCATGCCGCAGGGCGCGGACAGTGTCGCAATGCAGGAGGACTGCCGCGTTCACGACCAGGATGGGGGACGGAGCGTTGAAATCCCCGGCGGACTGAAAGCCGGAGCAAACAGGCGACGTGCCGGTGAGGACATCGCGGCGGGAACCGAACTCCTTTCGCCCGGCACACGGCTGCGCCCCCAGGACCTTGCCGCCATCGCCTCCACCGGCGCACCGGAAGCAACAGTCTTCCGCCGGCCCCGGATTGCACTTGTTTCGACCGGCGACGAGATACGTCGTCCCGGGGAGACGCTGCCCGACGGAGGCGTCTACGATTCCAACCATTTTCTGCTCCGGGCCCTTGCCGGCACGGCTGGCGCGGAGACGACCGATCTCGGTGTGCTCAAGGACCGCGCGGACAGTCTGGCTGACGCGCTCTCCGGGGCCGCAAGTTCGCATGACGTAATCCTGACGACGGGCGGGGCCTCACGTGGCGAGGAAGATCACCTTGTCGAGACACTCGACCGCCTCGGCAAGCGCCACATGTGGCAACTGGCGATCAAGCCGGGCCGGCCCATGAGCTTCGGACAGATTGGCGATTGCGTCGTTCTGGGCCTACCGGGAAACCCCGTCGCCGCGATGATCTGCTTCCTGCTTTATGCACGCCCGGTGATCTCGGCGCTCGGGGGCGCGGGCTTCACCACGCCACGGCGCTTCCAGGTTCCCGCAGCCTTTCAGGTCGATCGGAAGAAGCCGGATCGGCGCGAGTTCTATCGCGGCCGACTGGCGAGCGACGACCGTGGCAACACGGTGGTGGAGAAGTTCGAACGTGACGGCTCCGGGCTTATCTCGGGATTGCGCGCAGCGGACGGCCTCATCGAAATCCCCGAGGTCGCGACGGAAGTTGCCCGCGGCTCGCTCGTGGACTTCATCCCCTTTTCCGAGTTCGGCCTTGCCCCGCGCTGAGTTCAGGAGAGGCCCGGTTCCCGGATTGAACGGAGAAACTTTCATCCCCTGAAAAAATGAACACGCTCCCCAACGTAAGGCTATTGAACTTCCTTCGGGGATGGTGGGAATATGAAAGCTCGAAGGAACGCGAAGCCGTTCCACGAAAAATCGAGGGACCACAGGGGAACAACACATGCGTCTCATGAAGATTGCAGCAGTCGCGGCCATGATTTTCGGTGCCGTGAGCGGTGCGCAGGCCAAGGACTGGACCAAGGTGCGTATCGGGACGGAGGGAGCCTATCCCCCGTTCAACTATCTGACTTCCGACGGCACGCTGACCGGCTTCGACGTGGATATCGCTAAGGCGCTTTGCGAGCAGATGAAGGTTGAATGCGAGTTCGTCACGCAGGACTGGAACGGCATCATCCAGGCCCTGAACGCTGGCAAGTTCGACGCCATCATCGCTTCCATGTCGATCACCGAGGAGCGCAAGAAGGAAGTCGATTTCACCAACAAGTACTACAATACGCCTCCGGCGATCGCCGTCCCGAAGGACAGCGACATCACCGAGGCGACCGCAGCCGCTCTCGACGGCAAGCTGCTGGGCGCCCAGTCTTCGACGACCCATTCCAACTATGCAGAGGCCAAGCTTCCCGACGCGGAGCTGAAGCTCTATCCGACACCGGACGAGTACAAGCTCGACATTTCCTCGGGCCGCCTCGATGCGGTCATCGATGATGTCGTGGTGCTGTCGGAGTGGCTGGGAACGGACGACGGCGCCTGCTGCAAGCTGCTGGGAACGCTCACACCGGATCCCGTCATCAATGGTGAGGGTGTGGGCATCGCCATTCGCAAGGGCGAGGACGACCTGAAGGCCATGTTCAACGACGCCATCAAGGCGATCCGCGAGAACGGCAAGTATGCCGAGGTTCAGAAGAAGTACTTCGACTTCGACGTTTACGGCGACTGATAGCGGAAGCGCGGTCGGGACGGCAGGACGTTCATCGAGGACCATTCCCGGTCCCCGGATGACGTGATGTACGCCGCCCGACCGCATTTCCAGCATTCGCCGTTTTCAAGCCGTCCGCACCGCTGAGCGACCGGTTCCGGACCCGCATGGTCCGGAACCGGTCCGGCCAACCGACCCGGCCCGATGAACGAAGCACTCACACTCCTGTCCTTCGGCCCGAACGGCTGGGGCGACGAAATCGCGTATGGCGTGTTCGTCACTATCAGCCTCGCGGTGGCCACGCTGCCGCTTGGTCTTTTGCTCGGGTTCCTGATTGCACTTGCGAAGCAATCCCCGGAACGCTCACTCAGGGCCGCCGCGGACATCTACACCACGATCTTTCGCGGTCTACCCGAGCTTCTGACACTGTTCCTCGTCTACTACGGCGTCCCGATCCTGCTGAACCAGATGGTCAGGATCTTCAACCCGGAAGCCAGTCTCGACGTGAACTCCTTCGTCGCGGGGATGGTGGCACTCGCGGTGGTGTTTTCCTCCTACGCCTCGGAAGCGTTTCTCTCGGCATTTCGCGGCATTCGGCAGGGTCAGTATGAGGGCGGATTCGCTCTCGGCCTGAACCGCTCGCAGACGATGCGCCTCATCATCCTGCCGCAACTCATCCGCCTTGCCCTTCCCGCGCTCGGCAATCTCTGGCTGATCCTGCTCAAGGATACGGCACTGGTCTCCATCGTCGGCCTCAACGATCTCCTGCGCTGGACGGGTGTTGCCGCGCGCGTCGAAAAGGAGCCTTTCCTCTTTTACGGGCTCGCGTGCCTGATCTACCTCGCGCTCGCGATTGTCTCCTCCGTCGGCCTCTCGCGGATCGAACGCTGGAGCGGACGCGGGGAGGTCCGCCGATGACCGCCTATGTCCAGAAGGCGTCTCTGCCCCCTGCCCCGCCCCCTCCGGCACCCGCGCGGCGCTGGTCGGCCACGCGGATCACCGGCAATGTTCTGATGGCGCTCTGGATCGTCGCCGGCATCTGGCTGCTGACCTATCTGGGCGGCCGTATCGGCGGGGACTTTCTGGCCAACTACTGGCAGCGCTATGAGGACGGTGTCCTCACGACACTGAAGCTTGTCGGCGCCTCCATGGTGATCGGAGCGGTGATCTCGATTCCCGTAGCCCTGGCCCGGGCCTCGCGCAACGCTCTTCTCGCCGTGCCGGCCTTCGCCTACGTCTATTTCTTTCGCGGCACACCACTCATCGCCCAGACCTTCCTGATCTATTACGGTTCCGGCAGCTTCCAGCCGCTCCTGAAGGATGCCGGACTGTGGTGGTTCTTTCGCGATGCCTGGTACTGCGCGATCTTCGCCTTTTCCCTGAACACCTCCGCTTATCAGGCGGAAATCCTGCGCGGCGCCATCCGCAACATAGACCGCGGTCAGTGGGAGGCGGCAAAGGCGCTGGGGCTCGGACGCCTTGTCACCCTGCGCAAGATCATCCTGCCCCAGGCCATGATCGTGGCGCTGAGGCCCTACGGCAACGAGCTGATCCTGATGATCAAGGGCTCCGCCATTGCCTCGATCATCACGATCTACGACATCATGGGCGTGACGGGCCGGTCCTTCTCGCGCACCTACGACTTCCAGGCCTATATCTGGGCAGCCGTCCTCTACCTGTTGATCGTGGAGACCCTGCGCCGGATCTGGGACCAGTTGGAAAAGCGCCTGACCAGGCACCTTGTGCGTCGCTGATGAAGGCCCCCGACAGCACCGGCCTGTTTCGCGCGTCGGTCAAACATGCTTTATCTGGGCAGTGAAACCCACCTTGACCGACGCGCGTGCCTGCGGGGCCAACCTGCCGCACGCCGTGCGGTCTTCATCGGACCGATAAAATGCAAGACCCTCGCAACGCGAAGATTTCGCCCGCCTCCCGCCTTGCCCACGGTGGCGGTGGCATCGATCCGCAGACCGGAGCCGTGGTCCCGCCGATCCAGACGGCAACGACCTTCGCACGCGACGAAAGCTATCGGCTCACGAGCCCCTCGCACCTCTACTCACGCGACGACAATGACCTGACCCGCCAGACCGAGGCATTGATCGCGGATCTGGAGGGCGGCGCGGAGGCACGTCTCTTTGCCTCCGGCATGGCAGCCATTGCCGCGACGGTGCGCATGGTTCGCCCCGAGCAAACGATCCTCGTGCAGTCGGGCATCTATTGGGGAACCACCTTGTGGCTGCGCAAGCACTGCCAGCACGCAGGCATCGCCCTGATTGAGGCTGACGCGACCGACACGGAACGTTTCTGCGAAACAATCAGCGAAAGCGGTCCTGCGCTGGTGCTGATCGAGGTGCCGTCAAATCCCTATCTCGGCATGGCGGACATCGCCTCGATTGCCAAGGTCGCCGGCAATGCGGGGGCCGTGACCGCCGTGGACGCGACCGCCGCAACACCGATTCTCATGCGCCCGCTGGAGCTTGGTGCCGATCTCGTTCTCCATTCCGCGACCAAGGCCCTGAACGGTCATTCGGATGTTCTGGCCGGAGTCATCTCCTGCCGCGACGCGGACAGCGATGCCTGGAAGTTCATCCGCGAGGAACGCCACGACGCCGGAGCGGTGCTGCCGGCCTTCGAAGCCTATCTTCTGCTGCGCGGCCTGCGGACCCTCTCGCTCCGCATCGAACGCATGTGTTCGAATGCCCAGGCGATTGCCGAAGCGCTTCAGGCCCACCCAATGGTCGAGACCGTCCTGTATCCCGGACTGCCGACCCATCCGGGGCATTCTCTGGCGACCCGGCAGATGCATGACGGATACGGCTACCTGATGTCCTTCATTACCAAGGGCAGCGCACAGGACGCACTTGGTGTCGTGGGACGGCTCAAGCTGATCAAACGGGCCACCTCGCTCGGAGGCGTCGAAAGCCTGGTCGAGCACCGGCGCACGATCGAGGGCGATGCCAGTGGCATTCCCGAGGGATTGATACGCCTGTCGGTCGGCATCGAAAGCGCCGACGACCTGATCGCCGACCTGATGCATGCACTGTCGCCTCTCGCCGCTGGCGAATGAGCCTCACCCTCCGGAGTGCGCGGCGGCATCACCCGCCGCCCGCATTCCGTCGCGAGACGCCTGCGCCCGCAGCCAGGACATGAAGGCCTTCAGCGGTGCCCGCTTAACTCCGGGCAACGTCACCATGTGAAAGCCGTAGCCCGGATCCTTCTTCTCGAAGAGGACGCGAAGCGCTCCCGAGGAGATGAGTGGCTGGATGAAGGCCTTCGAGGCAATCGAGATGCCATCCCCGTTCCGGAGCCCCTCCAGCAGCATGTAGCCCGGCATGTGGGTGATATCGATCTGGGGCGGCGTACGGACTCCCTGGCTCTCGAACCATGCTGAAATCTCGTCCGTGCCGTATTCCTGCATCCAGGGAAAGTCCGCGAGGCTGGACGGGTCATCGAAAACGCGGTCTCCGACGAGACTCCGGGCCGCGACCACGACGGTCGGTGTGTGCATGAGTGCCTCGGCCTCCAGCCCGGGCCATTCGCCGGAGCCGTAGCGAAGCGCCAGATCGATCCCCCCCGGCTGGAGATCCACGATCTCGCCCGTCGGGTTCATGCTCAGCTCGATCCCCGGGTGCAGATGGCGAAACTCCGACAGGCGCGGCATCAGCCAGTGCACGGCGAAGGATGGCGTCATCGTGACCTGAAGCGGACGCGCCTGCCCGGCCTGCGAAAGCTCATCAACCGCTTTGCGGATACCGCGAAAGGCCGTATCGAGATGCCCGGCGAGTTGCCTGCCTTCATCGGTCAGGCAAACACCGCGCCCTTCCCGGCGCACCAGCCTGCACCCGAACCAGTCCTCCAGCGAGCGCACCTGCTGGCTGATGGCGGCATGACTGACGTTCAAACGGCGGCCGGCCGCCGAAAGCGTCCCCTCCTCCGCGACGGTCGCAAAAGCACGAAGTGCCGACAGCGGCGGCAGGTGCGTCCAGTCCATATGTAATCTCATCTAACATATGAAAGATCTTCCTGACTCGCCTGAATGAATGTGGAGCGGCATGTTTCAGCCAGTTTCAAACATGCAGGAGGCAGGACGGATGATTACCATTCTTGCAGATACCATGATGATCGCAACCCTCCGTGAAGCAGGAGCGCCGCACGGGGGAACGCGGGCACCCCGCCCGACCCCGCTTGATGCGAAGCCCTTGCGCCGGTCCGCGGAACGGATACGGCAAGGCGTCGGGTGACCTGACATCAGAGGGCCGATGCGCTAAACAGGATGGTGAGCGGATGACGGGCGGGGCCACGGCCTTCGCCCGCCTCCCGAAACAGCACAAAAGCTCACCAGATAGGGAATGAAGCGCGATGGCGAAGGTTGCATTCATCGGTCTTGGGGTCATGGGGTATCCGATGGCCGGTCACCTGAAGACCCGCGGCGGACATGACGTGACGGTCTACAACCGCACGGCCAAAAAGGCCGAGAAGTGGGTCTCGGAATTCGGCGGAAGCCACGCGAAGACGCCGGCGGAAGCCGCCCGCGACTGCGACTTCGTCTTCTGCTGCGTCGGCAATGACGAGGACTTGCGCGCCGTGACAACCGGTCCTGACGGTGCCTTCTCGACGATCAAGCCCGGCGCGATCTTCATCGACAACACGACCGCTTCGGCCGAGGTCGCACGCGAACTTTCGGCCGCGGCGGCGGAAAAGGGCTTCGCCTTCCTCGACGCCCCGGTTTCCGGCGGTCAGGCCGGTGCCGAGAATGGCGCCCTGACGGTCATGGTCGGCGGCGACAACTCGACCTTCGACACTGCCAAACCCGTGATCGACTGCTTTGCGAAGATGGTTGGACTGATGGGACCCTCGGGCGCCGGACAGCTCGCCAAGATGGTCAACCAGATCTGCATCGCCGGTCTCGTTCAGGGCCTCTCCGAGGCGATCCACTTCGCGAAAAGCGCCGATCTCGACGTCGAGAAGGTGATCGGCGTCATCTCCAAGGGAGCCGCGCAGTCCTGGCAGATGGAAAACCGCTGGGAAACCATGCGTGACGGCAAGTTCGACTACGGCTTTGCCGTCGACTGGATGCGCAAGGATCTGGGCATCTGCCTGAAGACCGCGAACGAGACCGGAGCCCGGCTTCCCGTGACCGCCCTGGTGGATCAGTTCTATGCCGAGGTCCAGGCCATGGGCGGCAACCGCTGGGATACATCGAGCCTGATCGCCCGGCTGGAAAACGCCAGCGCCAAATAGCCGCTTTGGACGGCAGGGTATCTTCAGGACGCACGAAACGCCCGGGACACGAGTGCCGGGCGTTTCACATTTCGCGCTACTCCCCCGCCGCTTCCGCGACGATCTCCGAAAGCAGCGCGTTTACATCCGCAAGCGCCTTGCGCGAGGCATCGGACCCGGTCTCTTCCAGCTTCCGAAAGCCGACAGTCACCCGACCCGGTGCGTCCGGTGTCTCAAAGGCAAAGACCACATAGGGGCAGAAGGCGATATTGCCCGCCGACGCTTCCATGGCCGCGCGCGACAGCCGGGCGGAACAGAACATCATCGCATCCGCATTGGCGAACACGACCTTGTCCGATCCGACATCCGCTCCGGTTCGAGCGAGCATTTCGCCAATATGCGAGACGTGATCAATGACCAGCCCGCGATTGATGATCGCGTTTTCCATGTCGAAGCGAACGTCGTCGTAGGGCCGCTCGACCGTATGCGACACGACCCCCTCAGGCAGTTCGGGAGCCGATTGCGCGAAGGCCGCCGGTGCAAGCGCGCAAAGCACCCCTGAGAAAGCCACCTGACGCATCCATCGCCCTGCTTCCTTCCGCATGATCAGCCCTCCCGATTTCGCTTCCGATGCCGAAACACGGCGCATTCGCCACTTCCGGAAATGATACCGGCTGCAAGGAGCCGACACCACTACATATTAATAATTTCGAATGTGAAGCAAGGCAGACGTCTCAGCTCTCACGCTCCGTTCGCGGCTTCTCGGTCGGGATATAGGCCAGCGGCAGTTCGCTGGTCGACTTGATCTGCTCCATCGCGAAGGAAGTCGACACATCCGAAATATCGATCTTGGCGATCAGCCTTTTGTAGAAAGCGTCGTAGGCCTCGATATCCGGCACCGCGACGCGCAGCAGATAGTCGACCTGTCCCGCCATGCGATAGAACTCGATGACTTCCGGGAACTCCGAGATCACATCGGCAAACTTGCGCAGCCAGTCGTCATTGTGCCGCGAGGTGGTGATCGCCACGAAGGCCGTCACCTTCACGTTGACCTTGCGCGGATCGAGGATGGCGACCCGGCGCTTGATGACACCATCCTCTTCAAGCTTCTGGATGCGGCGCCAACAGGGCGTGGTCGACAGCCCGACGCGCCGCCCGACCTCGGCAACGGGAATGGTGCAATCCTCCTGGAGGATCGAGAGAATGCGTCGGTCTATGCGATCGATCATGATCGAGTCCTGCGTTGGGCTGCAGTGACAGGATTCATTTTCCAATGAAATCCGATCCAACGAAGCCGATTTTCTTCAAGGCCCTTCATAGTGGAGAAATTTGGATTTTTCTTCCAATATCTAGCCTGATTTCGCTTGCCGCTTTTTCAATCCGATGTCAACTCACTCCTTGAAAATCAGCATTTCAGGGAGTTTTCCCATGTACGCCCTTCGCAAGGTCGCGGGCCTTGTCGCCCTCGCCGTTTCGCTCGCCGTCACGCCAGTCGCGGCGGCCTCCAACATTACGCCGCTCGTTTCCACCGACTGGCTCGCGGAGCACATCGGCGAACCGGATATGGTCGTTCTCGACATTCGATCTCCGTTCGCGGGTTCCGGCAAGAAGGACTATCTCGCCGGGCATATCCCGGGGGCGCTCTGGAGCGAATATCCCGGATACTGGCGCACCGACCGCGAGAGCGTTGTCGGCGTGCTTCCGTCCGTGGAAAAGCTCGAAGCGACCCTCTCCGAACTGGGTGTCGCGGACGGCAAGACCGTCGTGATCGTCCCCGCCGGCGGCAACAGCAGTGAATTTGGCGCCGCCGCGCGCATTTACTGGACGCTGAAGTATCTGGGCCACGACGACGTCGCGATCCTCGATGGCGGTCACCGCCGCTGGACGGAAGAGAAGCGAGATCTGGAAACCGGCCCCGTTGCGCCTATCGGAGACATGTTCATCGCCGAACCGCGCGCCTCTTACCTCTCGGCAACCTCGGACGTTGCGCGTCGCATGAACTCCTCGACCGTCTTGATCGACGGACGTCCGGCCGCCCAGTTCTCAGGAAAGGGCAAGCATTCCAAGGCGACCCGCTTCGGACGCATTCCCGGCGCGGTCAACCTCGACCAAGCAACGTTCTACGACGACAAGGCCGGGCGACTGAAGGATACAGCGACCATCGCAAGCCTCGTCCCTGAGAACCTCGCGGACAAGAGCGTGGAGATGGTCTCCTACTGCAACACCGGCCACTGGGCGGCGACCAACTGGTTCGTCCTGCATGAGCTTCTCGGCTACGAGAACGTGTCGCTCTACGACGACAGCATGGTCGGCTGGTCTCAGGACGAGAGCCTGCCCATGGCATCCGAGCGAACCATGATGGACGACATCAAGGCGTTCCTGAGCGGCCTCGCGGGCTGAAGCCCGAGCCTCGACAACGCTCCCAAGGCGACGAGCGACCGCACGCTCGCAGACCCGCCGCCGCCTCCTCTCCGTGAGAGGGGGCGGCGCGCGTTTGGCTCACGCCGTTCCAAGAAGCGCGGCAACCTGTTCACGCAGCACCGGCAGGCACTCCTGCTCGAACCAGGGATTTCTTCTGAGCCACGCATTGTTGCGCCATGAGGGATGGGGCAGCGCGATGGCCGGCCGGCCTTCCTTGCGTGTCGCGGCCAGCACGTCGCGCCAGTCGGCCACGGTGGCGCTCAGTGTGCTCCGGCGATGCTCGCCGAGATGATAGGCCTGGGCATACGACCCGATCACGATACGCAGCCCGATATTCGGCATGGCCGCGAACACCCGGTCATGCCAGAGCTTTCGACACTCCGGCCTCGGCGGACGATCACCTCCCTTTGCATCCAGACCAGGAAAACAGAAGCCCATCGGCACGATGGCAACCCGGCCCGGGTCGTAGAAAACCTCAGGCGCGATCCCCAGCCAGTCTCGCAAACGGTCGCCGCTGGGGTCGGTGAAGGGTCGCCCGGAGGCATGAACCCGGGTACCCGGCGCCTGCCCGCATATTGCAATGCGCGCATAAGAGGACAGGACGCAGACCGGGCGCGGCTCATGAGGCAGCGGCTGCCTCTCCGGCTGCAGGACACATTGCCTGCAGTCCGAGATCCTTTTTCCCAGGTCGACCAGCGCTGCGTCTCCTCGCACCACGACGCCCCGGCTTTCGTCCTCGGCACCCTTCATGCGCCCGCCCCTTTCATCGCCGCGCCCGACCTCGCTACGCATTGTTAACCATGTCCTTGAGCCGCTTATTAAGAGTTGGTGACCATGATGGGGCGAGTTCAAGTGATCGGGTCAAAGACCTGGCAAGGGTTCGTCCGGGAATCATATGGCTAGCGACGAGACACGCAACGGCGATGCCCGAACCGCCTCCAACAGCGAGCGGGCACAGCGACGCCGGGACGTCGCGAAAACGGTGCGCAGCGCGCGCGAGCGCCTCGCATCGGTCGACGGCGTGCAGCCCAACTTCGAATACGATCTCCTGCTTACCTTTACCAAGAACAGGCTGAGCGCGGCGATCGCCCTTCCCCTGTTTTCAATGATCGTTGCGGGCATCTCGCTTCTCTGGATGCAACCGGCCGTGATTGCCGGCTGGCTCGCGTTCTCGCTCATCGCCCATGTCCTTCTGATGATGGCCTGCAGGCGCTTCGAACGCGAGGCCGCCGGAAGCCAGACCCTGGCGTCCTGGCGGCGGCAGATGATCGCGGGCGACCTGCTCTACGGTCTGACGTGGGCGGGCTTCTTCCTGCTGCAGTCGACGACCACGAACCAGGATGGCTCCGAAATCTTCCAGTTCGCGACGATGCTGATCGTCATCGCGATGCTGACCATGCTTTCCTCGAGCCTGCCACGTGCGCTGCTAGCCGGAACTCTGCCGATCACGATCGCGATCGTAGTTTCGTTTCTCAACCAGCAGACCGCGATCCACTACGCCATGATGGCCATGGCCATCGGCGCGCAGGGCTTCTTCGTGATGCTGGGCAACCAGCTTCATGCCTCGACGCTGACCATGCTCGCCTTCCGTGCGGAAAAGGATCATCTGATCAGCGAACTGGAACAGGCCAAGGCGATCTCGGACGAGGCACGGCGCCGGGCCGAGGAAGCCAATCTGGCCAAGTCCCGCTTTCTGGCAACCATGAGCCATGAACTGCGCACGCCGCTGAATGCGATTCTCGGCTTTTCGGAGGTCATGAAGAACGAGCTTCTGGGGCCTCTCGAAAACCCGACCTACCGGGACTACGCCGGCGACATCCACTCTTCGGGCGAGCACCTTCTCAATCTCATCAATGAGATCCTCGACCTTTCGCGCATCGAGGCAGGACGCTACGAACTGAGCGAGGAGGCCGTTGATCTGGCCGCGATCCTGGGCGACTGCCACAGCATGATGCAGATCAGGGCCAACAAGAAGACCATCACGATCAGCGAAGCGATCGAGAAGGAGCTTCCGCGCATCTGGGCCGACGAGCGCGCCGTGAGGCAGGTTCTGCTGAACCTGCTGTCCAACGCGGTGAAGTTCACCCCGACCGGCGGCGAAGTGCTCATTAAGGCTGGCTGGACCGCCGGTGGCGGACAATATGTGTCCATCCGCGACAACGGTCCCGGCATTCCCGAGGACGAAATCCCCATCGTCATGCAGGCGTTCGGTCAGGGGGCCATCGCCATCAAGAGCGCGGAAGCGGGAACGGGCCTCGGTCTGCCGATCGTCAAGGCGCTGGTGCAGATGCACGGTGGCACGTTCGATCTCAAGTCCCGCCTGCGCGAGGGCACCGAAGTGCTTGTTACCTTCCCCGCGTCGCGGGTGCTCGAGGCAATGCCCGCGCTTGACGAAGCCCCGACAGCGGCCGAGCCGAAGCGACGGCGTGCCGCCGCAAGGCTCCTGCGCAAGGCGTCGTAAGACCGGTACGGTCCGGCTTGCCTATCGCCCCGGGAGCTCCAGAAACTCCGCGACGGCGTTGGCGACCTTTTCATGGGTCTCGGCACGGTCGGTTCCTTCGGGATCGTCGCAGATCGGATCGTCGTCCGCCGCGCGAAGCCGGCCCGCCGCCCCCTCCTTGCACACCGCAAGAAATGTGAAGTGATGCGCCGGCGCGATCACCTCCCGCCGTGCACCCGAAAGCCGTCCGGCGAGACCGCTTCCCTTGTCGCTCACATCGACCGCCGGCCAGATGTTCTCATCACCGAGATTCACGAACAGGACGGTTGCCCGGACGCGCTCGCGGCTTTCGGGTTGCACCGCATACGTGAGGCCCGGATCGACGGAAACGATCCTCGAGAAGCGAACGTCGAGCATGTCGGCGGAAAAACTCTCCGGAATCCGGCGCAGGTTCACGCCGCCTTTTTCGAAGAAGGCGCAATCCTGCGAGACCCGACCAACCTTTTCGCAGTACGCGGCAAAGGAATCCGCATCGAACCTGAGACCGCCCAGTCCGAGTACCGTGCTTCCTCCGAGCGAAAAGCCGAGTGCGGAAATCCGGTCCCGGTCGACATATCCAGCCAGTTGCGGGTCCGAGAGAACGGCATCCAGCGCGGCCGCAAGATCAGCGGCACGGGGCGCGAGACGAAGCGTGCGGCGCGGTGAGGAATCGCCTGATGTGGTACCGGGATGATTGACCCCCACGACGATGGCCCCTCGCCGCGCCAGCCGCGCGGAAAGCCATGCCAGTCCGTCCATCGCCCCCCCGGAGCCATGGGACAGCAAAACCAGCGGGTGGCGACCATCCGCGACAGCCGCACCCACAAGGGCCTTCTCGCCGGAAAAGATGACATTCTCGCCAATGGTCACGGCGTAGGTTGCACGTCCGGCGGGATACCATAGGGACACTGCGAGCGGTTGCGCTCGATGGCGTGCGGGAGCATCCATCCGGTCATAGCCGGGAAGATCGAGCAGATCGGCTTTCACCGGGATCGGCGTCACGAACGACAGGGCAAGAGCAAATGCAACGGCGGATTTGAAGGACATCGGACTTCTCCAGGTCAAGCACCTGCACAGGAAGCGCCGACAATTCTCCCGTTGCGTCCTCGAACCGGATAGAGGACGACGTCAAAACGGTTTCAGGACCTCATGCTGCCCAAGTCCGCACACCCACATGAAGACGTCAGAATGCTCCTCTTGCCCATTCCGCTTGCCGTTGCACTGGTTCTTGCCTTCCTCGCCGCGCGGGCGGCGTTGCTTCGCGAAGGACCGCGTCTGTTCCCCGTGCTTCTCGGCGTGGCCGCTCTCCAGGGCGTGGTGATTTCCCTT